AAATTTATGATAGAAATTCCTTCCTAAAGACATCTTCTCCTAGGTAAAGAGTACCCATATATGATTCCATCAATGGTTCCCAGTGTGTTGCCTTATCCTGTTGAAACTGTTGCATGCACTTCTTCAATTGACTTCATTAATAATAATATTGTTGCAGATTTCTTTGTGAAAAATTAACTTTTTCATTATGGTATTTGAATAAAAGAATTTATGACGATAAACTTGCATTCAGTTGTTATATGTGCCACACAATTCGATTCAATTTTATTCAAAAAGAAAAATATATATATACTTTTTATTTATTTATTTATTTGGCTCCATTGAAATTTAAGGATTCGAAGAGTTTTCTACAGTCTTCTAATTCGTTAAAAATGCATCAGTAAATACGAATAATTACTATAATTATATCCTCTATAAACACTTTTTTCTCATATTTACAGTCGACCCCCTATAACACTGTTGATAATTTCGTTTTATATGAATTCCATGTTATACGAGTCACTTAGATTTTACAAATACGTGAGCAGTTCACAGCCCAATTAAAATAAAAAATGTTCTCTGTTTAGAGATGGCCGTTATTGGGAGGTGACCATTATTAGGCATTCGACTGTATCATTCTGTTAATTTTCTGGTTGCACTTTAAGAATTAGACATTGTTTCATATGAAGCTTGTTTCAAAATGGCGACCGTTTTGTATGCTTATTTATTTATTTTGTAACACTTAAAGGAATTTGAATAAAGTTTGTACGAAAAAAAAGTATTTTGTTAATATGTTTTTCTGTCATTTTATTTTCTGTAATAAAAAGCAGTTTGTAATTCTTAAAAATATATTTTTTTAATATAAAAAATGTTATTTATTTTCAAAATAAAAGAATAATTTATTCAAAAAAGAAATTTCTTCACGAATTATTTAGATTGATATAAATGACCGAAACTATTCTTTGGTCATCCATATCAATTTCAAACGAATTGTATTGAAGGAATAAGGCAACACATCACTTGGGCAATCTGCCAAGGGGATGCCTCCGAGAGAACTTTCTATAGAAAAGATATAAGAAAGTGGCCCCTTTTTTAGGTGGTAGACACTTGAAGAAAACACGGAAAACTTCCCGTGGTCAGCTGGTTTGAGGCGAGAACCCGTGACCCGCAACTACTAGGTTTATCCACGCAGCCACTAATGGGTTACTAATCCTTATTATATCTTTATAATTTGTGATAAAATCTAATGATTAAAAGTACATCAAGCTATATTATTTATGCTTTTTATATTGATACACGTCTATGTATACGTTTGCGTAATTTATAATTGTTCCTTCCCCTTAATTTCAAATTAAGTGTATTTAAAATCAAGATATATCTTGACTTTTATAAAATTTTAGAGAATTTTATTAAGAGTGCATTATTTTTCTAATTATTAAATGAAAAGCAATACAGTTCTTTTCGTTTAACTCCACACATCGTGACACCTTTGGTATGTACTGTACACATGTAATGTAATTTTCAGCAGTTGCGTGTGTACAGTACATAACACACATTTTGATCTGTAGAAAAAAATGGATACTCTCCAATCTTCAGAAAAACGGTGGAATTTTGCAAGAACAGTTTATAAATTACAGTACAGCATCGTTTATCCGAAAGAATTCCAGTTGGCAAATTTAAATTTTCGCTAGTGCTGTGGCGCTGCAACCTTCGCCTATGTCTCGGGCTACTCAAATATTTTACGTTTTTGATACTAAAGTAACTTCGGAAGTATAATTTTTTATTCTGTTTATATTTTTCAATATATTTATTTTGTTTGTACAAAATAAA